ATATCAGCTCCAAAAGTTTTAGAAATTGGCTGTGGTTCAGGTGCAATCAGTCTTTCTCTTCTTAAGTGTATGAATGAAGTAAGTGAGATTGTTTTGATGTGTAATGTATTTCAATGTACAGAAAGTACAATTTCTTAGGGCATGAAGTAATATGTTTAATCAGAACAAAGTAAATCATTTATATTTTTACAGTTTAACTAGAACAAAATATTTAGTGCATAAAGTCATCATTGGATGATTTGAGTAAAAAGTAATGATGTGTTTGATAAATATCATTTATCTTTTTATTTTATTAACCTCCCAGAATGAGAAAGTGAATTATGTCTATTTATTTTTTCATGAAATTTGAATTATTCAAATATTTAATATTTACTCAATAATAGCATTATTCAGATATTGCAATACTCTTTGAAAAGAAATTTAATACATTACTAAATATTTCAGCTTCAGTGTGTGGCAGTGGACCAGAGTAAGCATGCCGTTTCACTTACAAAGGAGAACGCTCAACATCTAAAATTAGATGATAGATTGGTAGTTTTGGAAGGCAAAGTAACTCTAGAAAAATTCCCAGCTCTACCTTACCAAAAATTTGATTTGATCGTCTCTAACCCTCCTTATGTTCTTCGGAAGGATTTGATGGAGGTTGGGCCAGAAATTATGATGTAAGTTTTTCAACCAATCTTTTATAAGAGGTAAATTTTTTTTCAAATACTGTCAAATGTTTAAACATTCAAAATATGGTAAATGGTATTGATATTATGACTGAAATTAGTTTTATAAAGGATAATTCCTCATTGCTACTGAGTTAAGAGTTGTGTGTAGATGTGATTTATATAAAATTCATTCTCATGGATGTTGTTTTGTCTAGATTTGAAGATATGAGAGCTTTGGATGGAGGAAAAGATGGCCTGGACACAATCAAACCAATCTTGCTTCACTGTCAGCATTTCCTTCCATCTGGTCGTTCCATACTCATGGAGGTAATGTTGTAAGGTTCTGTTCTGTTTTTAACTCTTTGTGTACCATGTCATGCTTTTTACTTTTTTAGGGGGGAAATTGTTAATGTTGAATTTGTCCCAATTTTTTTCTTTCTTTTTTTCCAGCAAGGGTTATATGAACGTCAGTCTTTATATACATTTTGTCAACAAAAATCTCATATACAGTAGGAACAGAACTAATTGTTTTTATGTTTGTCATTTGTTTCGTAGTAAACCTTACTCTTTACAATACTATGCTATGAATCTTCTGCTCACGTATAAAAACTTATCTGCATGGACATCCTTATCTATGCTGTAACTCAGGCATGTGCAAGCACCAACATACATACATACATACATACATATAGTTATTTTTTCTTTGAATAGAATGACTATCATACAAGTAATACATGATATCAAACTTATTGTCCATTATTTTATTTTATTTTATTTTTTTCAAGTAGACTCTGTTGCTTTTTTCTTTCACTTGATTTTGCTGATCACATTATGAATTACAAGGACAGTGGTAGACGGGTATGTATTTGAACATGATGCACATTACAAAATAAAATCCTGGTGTCAGAGCTAGAGTATTGCTAGTTGTGGCAGAGCGAGAACATACTTTTTACAATTTTAAACAAATTTACAGAAGTTCATAAAAGTATAGGATTTAGTAATACTCCTTGTTTCAGTTCTTTAACTGTAGGAATTTGAAGACAAATTAACACCTTTTTAATAAATTTCAGGTTGATCCATGTCATCGTTATCTGATACCGGCATGGTTGAAGACACAAAAGTCAAAGTTGGAGATCAGTAGTGTCATTCAAGATTTTAATGGGAAGGATAGATTTATTGAGTTTACTAAGATTTGATGTGAAGCTCAATTGTTATGAAGCATTTATGATATAAAATGAATGAATATACAGATACAGTCATAAAAGTTTTATTTAAGATTTCTTAAATGAAAAATATCATACTGTAAGAACATTAAAGTCACATGAAACCATTTATTACTAAACATGTTTCATTTCCCTTCATTTAGTAAACAGATTTCTAAATGATACATTTTGGGATTAGAAATGTACAGTTAAAAAAGTTTTATAAAAATAGTAAAATATAAACAACAAACTGTGATATTAAATTTCAGGATGTACTAGAACACTATCCATAGATTAACTGGAGAATAATAGTTACCAAATGAAATAAACTTAGTTGCAGGTGTGATACTGTCAATGACAATATCAAGGGAGCATTGCAGAGCCCAGGAATACGGTCCATCCTGGAACCTGCTCAACTTTACAGGGGCGATTGCAAAAGGCCGGACAGTATGACAGTCTTTCCATTCAAGCAAGGCAAATCCTTGCTCTGGAACGCTACCTGCACATACACTTTCGCACAAACAAACATTATCTCATGTGCTTTACATGCAGGGTTATCAGCACAGCAGGTAGAAAATACAAAAAGGCATAAATACCAGTCCCTTACATCTTTGAACCTTTTGCCTTCGAAACTACAGGTGTTTTTGGGCCCTCCACTCACATGTTAGTAAAAGTTAGTGGAGGACATCGGCCACACGGCCGAATCCAACGAGCCCAAAGAAACTTTGTGGTTAAAGCAAAGTCTGGGGTTAGCTATCGGTCGAGGCAATGCTGTCAGTGTCCATACTACCTTAAAACAGGACAATGCTGTTATTTAATATTTTTAAGCATGCTTTAATTTCCGTTTTATCATTGGTTGATGGTCACAGCCACCACTGTGGTTGGAGCTGGTGACCTGTACTTTCCCTTACGTACAGCCTGCATTAAAGACATTTTCAGATGGAGGCCTTTTGATTTTTTTTATAAAAAATATATATTTTGGGGGAGGGGGAGAGAGAAAAGGGCCACCCCTCAGGGTCCCATGAGATAACGAAAAGAATACTGTGCCCATGGCTCCCTGAGGCCATTCATGACTGGCACAAAGTCAGCCTTTCATCATCTGAACACGGCTCTCACTTGTCTTGCTACTTCATCTATTGTATTCTAAACCAAGGATGTGACCAAACTAGTGGTTTTCACCAGGATCTACTTAAGATACCAGAATTACTACAAACTTTATTTTTGCAAGGTTAAAATCTTTAAAGCAAGTATCTAATTTGAAGAGAAACTTTCTACCAATATACTCTGTAGAGAAGCATGGAAGCTCCTGTGAAAATTATATTACAATGTTTGTATAGTTGTTACAACAATTCAGAACTTCTGTGCAACAGCTTGCAGGACCTGACAAGTGAGAGTGGTTACGTGTGTTTTCAGACTGGTCTAGCTTAGAAATTTCAAGTTCTAGGCTTAGAAAGAATATATGTTCCATAAAAAAGTTGGTAGAATATAAGTTTGGTGCCCTGGCATTTCTTGAAGGGAGCTAAATATGTTCTCAATTATTAAACATTCAAGTGATTTTAAGAAAGAAAGACAAGTTTAATGTGATATCCTTAATTCATACTTCCACTTGTCGTAGTTATTGACTGTGGGTCAAGCAAAAAGTTTGCTTTATATTTTTCTTTTAAACCTGCTAATTGTTGCATTCTAAAATGACTACCACACAGCATATATAAAAATTCCTGCACTTTAAAATCTTAGAACACAAACATCTGTTCTCTAGATTTTTCTGTCACTTATTGCAAACCACAGGGCTGGTCTGGGGTTTTATTCATGAAGATTTCTTTGACAATTTGGATTTGGCTCTCCAGTTGTTGTTGAATTTGTCTCTGTCCAAAGAATGTCTATAGCCACATTTCAAAGTCAACACTTAACAAGAACTAATTTAACCCACCCGCGCCGGGTACATTTTTGTAGCCAAAATTTAAAAAATCCGGGCAGCTACAAAATCGGCGGGTGGAGCTTCCCCGGAGTCTGTCCTTTCTGCCCGGCCGCCCGCCGCTTCTGCCGCGGAGCACGGCTCCGAGACAGCATCGCACTGGCGGGCAGCCCGACACTGTTTATTTTTTCCCTGTGTCTCATATATGTGACACCCGGGACGAATGGGTTAAATATACTTTAGTAGACACTATGATGATACTCCACTGTAATAATGAAATAAAATAAGTACTGTAATGAATCTCAACAATGTATTGGCTATATTACACATTTTTTGGAACATGTGGCACCCATAGATGTTATTTCAACAGTGAATGTTCATCTGTCATTTATTTTTACTTAAAGAGAAAATTGCAGTAACCATGAAGGGAACAGGGCAATTAACAGCTGACAATAAACCAAGCTTTCCTAATCATTACTGATGAAGAGCTATCTTTAGCAAATGTAAAATTGTATTATTATCTGCTGCTCAAAAGCACAATGCAGTCCTGAGTGTGGTACACCTTCAGACCTGTTATGAACTTCAACCAAATTATGGATGAAATTGATTGTTAAATACATTATCATGAGTTTACAACTTTTTTCTTCTGTCATAATCTATGACCTTCCATGAAAACTGCCCCATGTTCATTAAGTGCACAGCTTAAGCGTCAGAATCAAGTTATCACGTATCAATCAACATAGAGAAGTACAATGTTTATCCCAAGATGGGAGGATCTGGAAAAAAATAGATTGCTGTCAAGAGATAATGGATGTGTAATGGTTTAAAAATGCTTTTTTGTTTGTTTTTAGAAATGCTCTGTCTGTCTGTGTCATTGTCTGTGTGTGTCTGAGTCTCTAATATATGGAAATGCTGTTGTGTAATATGATACTTTCTCTCTCCTCAAGCAAGGTAGTGACTGAATGCAGAAAAACCACAAAGAAAATCTTTTGTTTGTAAAAAATGCACATTAACATTTTGCATGCATAGGGAATGCAAGGTAGTAGCAATTATAAGAAAATGTATGTTTAACAACTGTTTACAGTTCCACTTTAAGATGTATTAAGACTATTTACCATAACTGTTTACATTTTCAACAAGGAGCAGCCTCAAAGTTATTGCTTAGCTGCATATTTCTAAGCTTCTTCAACCAACTGATACATGTTGGCAAAGGGAAAGTAAAATAAAAACTGAGTCACCAAAACTTTATTTCCAACATATATATATATTCTTTTCCCAGATACATAAAAGTGAACATGTAACAAAAATGATGTAAACTCATTTCTCTGCAGTAACTTTTCATATTATGACACCCCAAATATAGTTATATTGGGTCAATTATTTGCAATCACTTGCAGAGCAACACTATTTTTTTTACCCGATACATGAACAAATTCCACGTTAAAAAGTATCCTATATGCATGAGTATATATCCAACACATATTTGTGACATTAACAAGTTAGTTTGTGGCTAATAACTGGACATAAAATCAGGAAAAATCAAATCAAGATAAAATGTGAAATCACGTTTAAGCTATTTCTCACCTATGTATTACAACTAATATGGCAGTAACCACTTCATCTGGTACAAAAGTATATATCTTCATGAAAATATGGTCCTACACAATGCAATGTCAAATTTTGTGCTAATGCTTTGAAAAAACTGTTGTAAACTTTAATTTGTACTGTAACAATCTGGGTAATATTATGCAGTTACATTGGTGAAAGATTAGCTACTATTCCCTTTTAAAGTATGGCAAGAACTTGATTTTAGTGACCCAACTTTTCCTGGGCATGGAGCTGAGGGATAAACATTTCTTCCTCCCTTTGACCTTCAGCCATGTGCTGCTCAATAGCTTCCACACTGAAAAGGAAAAGTGTGAATATTAGAATTTTTTTCATAAAGGTTTTCATAATAATAGAAAATAATGTTAAAATCTTAGCATTTCAACAACATACATACAATGACACTGTTGTTCAAAAGTATTGGAAACTGTGCATGTATCATCATAGATGGCAAAAGAATATGAGATGAAGATGGAGGTGGACAGTGATGGGAGGTGGAGGGAGTGGGAGAGGAAGATGAGAGGGAGAGAGAGAGGGGGAATTCAACAATAATATAAACAGGTTTAATAAATGCCAGCTGCAACAATGGTATTCCTAAAGCATATCTGACTTACTAGAATATCAAATACCTGACAAGCTATTTGTCAAATTAATAAAGAAACTGATGAAGCAGCGGCTTACAAACCATCAAAACTTACGTTCTTGGAATGCTTCCTCCAGTCAGGTCTTCCATGCCATTGGCTGTGACAACAATGTCATCCTCAATTCTCACTCCGCCAAATCCACGGAAGCGGGCAATGGCCTCAGGAACCAAGAAACGAGCTTGCTCTGGGTTAGCAAGAGCCTGGTCCAGCAGCTATGATGAAACAAAAGGACATGACATAATTAATCACAAGCTTTTTTTTTTTTTTTTTTTTTTTTTTTTTTTTTTTTTTTTTTAACAACTAAAACACTGTCAACTCCTTGCATAAAGGGTTGCCAATGAATGACATAATAAAGGGGCATAGAAAGCAAAATAGCACAATACACATCATGGAAAATATATCATAGCACATCTTCATCTACATGGAACTGAGTTGCTCTGACTGTGCTAAGCAGAATAACTGACCCAAACCCCCATCCTCTGCATATCAAGTCTGAGCATTAGCCAGACACTAAAAGACAGTCCTGCTGTGGTTTCAATGATCAGTTTTTTTCACATATCCTAGTGGACTGCATCATATATTGGTATTACCCTACATTCGGCTATGATGCTTACTAAAAGCAAGCACTCAAATGTTTGGGGTACTGACTCAATTATGAGATAAAAGTGAAAAAAATGCAATGAAGCATAAAATCTGCCTCACAAGCCTGAAGTTCTTGTGAGAAAGAGAGTAGAAGGATGCCTACATTTGTTCTACTTAAAATGTAGTTACTAAAGGCATTTTTGGACGTCATTTCTACTGCTTTTACTACTATTAGTAATAAAAAGATTTTTTTCATATTCACAATTTCTTGTTTTTGTACATTTCATTATAATCAAGCAGCCCATATGATATCAAATAGAATAACCTAATGTTTGTCATACACTGGCTAAGACAATAAGTCTGACCGTCTATGGGTATGTTTGATGGCATAACAATGAAGTCTGACATTTTCTCATCCATGCTGTTTGTCAATCATACCTGAACCTGTGAAATGATGCCTAATCAAATATGCTCATATGAGCAGCACCAGCTATAGTGACTGGATGTGACCGCACATAACTTTGGTTACCATTTTCCTATTTTGTTATTATCATTATTACAATTATTATCTGACTTTCAACTCTGTTTCATCCTCTCATGCTTCTTCCTTGGACTGTGAAGTATGGAAATAATTGCTGCCTGATTGCTATAGTGTCATGATTGATTATTTTTGTCATGTTGTGTATGTCATTGTTTGACATTTGATTAAGCATTAAGTTTGATAAAGAAAGTTTGTGTTAGAGGACTGAATGAAATCACTGACAACAACTTCCCTTCCCAAAATATTCAAGGAATGGTATAAACAGATGAGATGTTGCACGCAACCAGCACCAATGAGGTGAATTTGCAATCACTTATTACCACCAATTATACTTTTTGGAATTATAGTCAACTCACATGGTCAATGAAGTAGCACCCAGGTTCAATGGTCAGAACCATGTTTTCCTCTAGAATCCTGGCTGTTCGCAATGAGCGGAAGCCCGCTTCTTGAGGACGACCTGGGTTACCCTCAAGGTAACCACCAACATCATGGACATCAAGACCCAATAAATGTCCTAGACCATGTGGCTGGAACACTGCACCCAAAGTGACCTGTAAAACAATGATAAATAATTAATCTACAGAGTAATACAAGAAACAGTGTTTAAAAATACTTTATCCTAATGAAAATTACTCTTTGTTGTACTAGTGTACAACAAATGTATACCATACTATTTCTATGACTGTATATCTTCACAGGCATTGCAGCAAAGGGTGCTTATGAATACTCTAAAAAGCTAGTCTTAATCCCCTCTTAGTCAACAAACATGGAGATGAAACTGACGTCATGACAGCAAAGTACACTTATGATATAGCACAGTCATTCTTTTTGCCATGGAAAACTAATATTATCTAGTGACACAGTATCCTTACATCTTGTGTTCTCTGAATTCTGTCTGAATCCTTTGATGGCTACATCTTCCCTTTCAATTGTGACGAATTTATTTTTCCTCTTCTGATAATTGATTTGTTTTTTTTTTATGATCACCCATATTAGAATAAATTCTACAGAGTAAATAGTTGCATTAGAAAAAAAAAAAAAAAAAAAAAAAAAAAAAATCCTTAAAACGGTGAAATGAGAGATAGATGAATGGTAATAGTTTGTTCATATAGTAAAAAAGGGTTAATTATTAAAGCTAAATCTGTGTCTACATACTAAACATACAACACTGACTGACCTTCATCATTTCATCAATATCTCCTTGCACGATGTTTGCTTCCTTCAGCTTCTCTAGCATTGCTCGGTATGACACACGATGCATCTCTACCCAAGACACTCCTGGACGCACAGCAGCCATGACAGCACGTGAGGCACTAAGAACTGCATTATAGATAGCCTTCTGATCTTCTGTGAATTTTCCATTTGCAGGGAAAGAGCAAGTAATATCACTGGTATAGCAGTAATATTCAGCACCCATGTCAAACAGGCAGATGTCTCCATCGCCGACCTAAAAATGGAATTTGAACTTAGATTTCTTAACGCTGATAAATACAGACTGTTCTTCATGAAGGAAAGAAGGAAGGAAGGAAGAAAAATCTTATTTTCAATAAACTAATAGAATAATTCTGATATCTGCAAATGAATACTGTCAATATCTCCTTTGGCTTATTAGAGATGGGCAAAATTTATGGTTAAATTGGTCAAGGAGTGGCGTTCATTAGTATGCACAGCTTTGAACTTGGTTAAGTGCATGGCTCATGGTAGTAGTGCATGCAAGATCTAATTGTGGTAACTAATAAGTAAAGTCATCACATGATAAAGTGCCACCCATCGTCAGTCAATCTCAATTAGGGTAGCATTTTATAATTCTAGCTGAATCAAAACAAAATTTTAATGGGATTACTTGACCAATGTATTGTCCTATAGTTACTGCTCTTTTCAATTTTGTATCAAGAAAAATATGACGCGATTCAAAATTAAACCCTATTTGAGACGTATATAAAATATGTCAGAAAAATATTGTGCTCTGATTGGCTGGTAGAGGCATACAAAACAAAAAGGTGTTTAACGGGTTCTAATAATGTAAGCATAAAGGGCAAACATGTTTGAGGAGTTGGGTTACTCTCTGGAGAACTGTAGGTCTGTACTGGAAATGAATACTGTATCTGTCATAAGCATATCAGTCTACAATAGAAATTCTGAGTATTTTCAATTAAAAGTCAAGTTCTTAAAGACAAACAATGCATCCAATTCTGAAACCTACCTTAAAAATCAGTAATCAGTATGATTACATAAAAGAAAAAGGAAGAAAAATAGTGACTGTTTGTATATTTTGCGTGTATTTGAGTAGCACATCTCTACAAGTGTACTTATATCTGCAGATGCAAAAATGAAGATACTTAAACATGTGTCTAGGCCTATATAGATGTACATATCAAAATAGAAAGTTAAGTCTATTCAAGACAAGCACAGAGCTCAAATGGTGAAATATCATTAACTTGAAAATAAGAGGATAGGGGTTACAACCTTGTTATAATTTGTGGAAACTGTGGGTGGAAATTCTGTGTGTTATAAATAGCAAGAACTCGGTTTTAATACCTGTGACTCAGACCAAACGAAAAATTATGACTGATGTGATATCACACCATAGGTCTATGTCTCAGTCTCTTAGATAATTGTAGATGAATGAGACATGTGTCTAGGGATGTACATATCAAAATAGAAAGTTAAGTCTATTCAAGACAAGCACAGAGCTCAAATGGTGAAATATATTAACTACAACCTTGAACTGTGTGAAATTCTGTGTGTTATAAATAGCAAGAAAATATATTATGACTGATGTGATATCACACCATAGGTCTATGTCTCAGTCTCTTAGATAATTGTAGAAAAGGTATGAATGAGACTGGATATCTTCACAATACAAGAGATGTATTTGACCGGTTTCAATTACGTCTTCATCAGAAATACATACATAAGAGAAAATACATAGCATATATATATACTACATAGGAGCTGGTAGATCACCTGACGACTGTGACCTCGCATAACGAGCGAGAGGTCACAGTCGTCAGGTGATCTACCAGCTCCTATGTAGTATATATATGCTATGTATTTTCTCTTATGTATGTATTTCTGATGAAGACGTAATCGAAACCGGTCAAATACATCTCTTGTATTGTGAAGATATCCAGTCTCATTCATACCTTTTCTACATTTGTCAACATGGATACGTTTCACTCTTAGATAATATTAATGACAATAACAACAAACTGGACAGTGACCCAGGCACTAGGGTGGACAATCATTAGTGTGCACCATATTAAAGAGTCCCTATCCTCATCTGATTTCATTAAAAAAAAAAATCATTGGTACTAGGTATCTTTGAAAATACTTTAAACCCTAAACCTACTCATAATGGATACCACCTGATCACAAAGTGCAGGTCAATTCTTGACAGACCTTGCACAAATGTGGCACAAAAGTTTAACCTACACATTATGCATTAAGTAATTGTGCCGAATGGGAATATAGGGGTTCATCAAGATGATGATGATTATGAAAAAATATATAGAGAAATTATTATTAGAAGTTATTAGAAATAATAAGTACTCAGCCAAAAAATGTGAGTGAGTGAGAGAGAGATGAGAAGAGCGAGGGCACAAAAAGTGGGGAAGTTAAAAGACAGGAAATGGAAGGAGAAAGAGAACAAAATTTCAGTTACTTACAGTCCTAGCATTTGGAGCACCAGCATGTCCATAGTGAAGCACGGCAGCATTGCACCCAGAACCACAGATGTTTGTGTAGGCCTGGTGACGACAACCTCCATGGTAGTAAGAATGGTGTTGGAAGATGGCTTCAAGTTGGTATTCTTTCATTCCAGGACGGATCTTACGCATCACAGCTTTATGGGCAGCAGCAGACACTCTAGATGCAAACCTCAGCACCTCAAGTTCAGCCTCAGTTTTAGTGACTCGGCTGAAAAACATTAAAGATCCCATTGTCATTCTTATATGACATAATCTGTGAGAAAACTTTCACATACCCAAAGGTTTACATGAACCTACTGGCCCCATCCCCTGTATTTTTTTTTTTTCTGTTTTAATACTAATAACTTAGCAAGTACTTAGTGACCAAGGAGTACACTTTGTTACTATGGTAATTAAAATAAGCGAAACATAATGATGATAGAAATGACAAAAACTTACTTTTTATTGTTGGTGATCAGAAGTCTATTTCAATCACAATTCCTTCTATAATTATATCACAGTAATTGACTAGACTGGCTAAATTTGCTTATAAAAGAATCCCCATCTTTTCTATCTTACAATTATGCATTACTTTTGTATTCATAACTCTATTTGACAAGAACTCCATCACACTATAAACACACAAACAGTTTTCTGCCACTGAACAAGCACGTTACACAGATGTTGCTTCTTTCATCTTCTCCTCAATGTAATTTTTCAAAAGCTCTGGGTACATACGAAGTCTATTCATCTTCTCATAGCTTAGGCTAACCACTTTAAAGCCACACATTGCCAAATGCCGCTTACGCATTGCCTGTGGTCCTACAAGGTGATCTTCATTTAAAATGTAATGCTCTGGTGGATGAATTAGTAGTGCATACTTATTACTACTCCACTTGAAAGACTTAAGTGACAGTTTTCCTTCCATGTCAATGACACAATCAACCACATACATCTCTGTACCAGGGAAGTTTGGCAAAATGGCAGAAGGAGTTATACGCTCACTGGTTCCTACAATTTCAATGAGAGGTGCTTGGATCATATTTACACAGCGCATAATTCTAGCATCGCGCCAAAAACTTTTGGCTGAATGATCCCTAGGAAGCATGGGTCCACTGTAGTTTGAAGCTTCCAGACAAAGAGCCCGATCAAGAACCTTTAGTTTTGTTCTTGTTAATCTCATTTCTGCTGGTTCCAATGTGTGAATTCTATCAAAGAAGTAGGGATTAAACACTTTTTTCACAAAATTGATTGGATAGCGCTTTAAATAAACGCATGATAGCAATAAATCAATCATAATATTTGGAGGAAATTGGACAAATTTCTCCTCTAGAAGGATTTCAACGGCTAGAAAGAAAGCTGAAGCATTTGGAGGCTCATAATTCAACAGACCATAAGGTCGACACAGGCTGTTTACTTGAGGCACTGTGAGTTTAGATGCATTCTGCATAAAATATTCAACTCCAGTATCCAAAACCTCTGGGCTCCTAATTCGCATTTTTACACAGTAATCCATTATTACAGCAATTAAACTTGGATCATTTATGTTAGACTTCTTAACCTTCATGAATCTGGTAAGGGACTTCTGAATATTTGCATCCGTGAAATTTAGACTCATAAGGGAGTACACAATCCACCGTATATTACTTTCTGTAAGAACATGGATATTCAAATTGGTCCATCTTGATATCATTGGCAGCATCCGACTACCAGTTAGTTTGAGCTGGATCAAAACATGGAGAATCCTAATAATGTCTTCAGACTTCAGTTTGTACCACAGACTTCCCATCCTTCTTTCAACTGTGTAATACAGATGCTTACGGCTCTGCTTTACTAGTGGAAGGATGCTCATAATATTGCAAGCTTCTTTCACGTTAATATCTTCTACCTTATCTGTTATTCCGACCCAAACCTTTTCTATGTACTGGGATCCAGTTGTACCAAGATTATAAAATGCTTTGGCACTTTCACAGACCTGTTCCACAGTCATTCTTCCTTCTGTGATTCTAATAATACATTCATTGCACAGTTTCTCCAAATATTTCTGCTTATTGCCTTGATAAGAATCACGCCCCATCACTCTTAGAGCATCTATTATGTTCTGTGGATCATAACTACCACAGATAATTTCTATTAAGTGCTTCATGACTGCCCCTCTTGTAAAAGTAAATGGGGATTCTTCTGGATACAAATTAAGTCCTCTATTACGATACTCAAAATTGTTTTCCAATTCGAAAATCCTCTTAATTACAGCTAGTGCAACATTTGGGGATACTTCCTCTTCTGGACAAACTTCAAGCAATTTGAAGATGTCAGCCACTTTCAAACACCTCATGAATCCCAAAATCATCTCCTGCTCTTCATCAAAATTTATATTCTTAAATAGATTCTTTGAAACTTGAGGAATCTCAAGACCCAGGCCTTCCAGCTTTCTACCCGCCTGGGTCTTGCCATTGCTAAACACACTGAATTCCCCATTGATGATCTGAACGATGCATGGCAGCTCCTGGATGTTAAGACCATCTTGCACCATGATAGTTGTATTCGTTATTGTTTTGTCATCATCTGAAAGGCTGCTCGGGGAATGACTGAAGTGCCTCCCTTGGAGAAGATTAGGCTGGCTCCTCATTCTCAGTAATCTTGTGATGCCGGTTGCGCAAGGGAGTCGCCTTGACGCTGAAGTAACTGATGACATCTTGAGGGTATCCTTGAATTTGTAACCTTCACAAAGTACTACAATGAGGCACTAAAACTACGACCCAACACCAATACTTGAATGGCGTTGGGAACGTAGGTAGTCACGTAATCACTTATGCAATTTAACTTTACTGATTTCTTTCCAATGAAATATAATTCCTTTTAGGCATCACCATTTAATAGCACCATGATAACTTCGTTACAATAAAGCTGAATTTCCTCAGAAATCATTGTGTAAGTTTTATAACAATCAATGGTAAACAAATATCGACGACTCCCTTGGCACGCGCGATCAGCTGTTTTATGTTGACATTACTTAACTTGCTTTACAATCTCTGCCGCCAGATGGCTCTGCCCGCTTATCAGTAAGAGAAAATGGACGCATTGGGGTGACTAAATAACACCAACAGCAACAACAACAATAATAGGGATAATCATAACAACAAACAATGCTACCAAAGTGATGATTGATGACTGATGATAATCGTAATAGTATAAATAACAACAACAACAACAACAATAATGATAATAAAAAATATTAATAAAATAAATATTAATGAAAATAATAATATTAAAATAACAATAGTAACAATCATTATATCAAATAATAACAATGATAGAATAACAATGACAACAATTATTATTAAATTCAATAATAATAATAATAATAATAATAATAATAATAATAATAATAATAATTACCATTAATAATTATCATTATTACCATAAATAATTAAGTCATCATCATTACCATAAAAAAATGATATTAATAACACTGGGCCGGTTGGATATAATTGTGCGAGTCATGACCCAATAAATATTCATTAATACGGACATATACACAGAAGTAAATGCAATCTATCCGTTGAGACATGTATATCAACCGGATATATAGATAGTTAAATGTATATACATCAGACAGATATATATCTGTATCTATTTCTGCCTCATGCATGTCTGTATATATGAATATTGACTGGGTCAGGCCTCGCACAATTCTAACAAACTGGCCGAATAACAAAGCGATAACAATAACAATAACAATACTCTTGGCAATATGCATAACCAACGATTATTGGACTTACCACTCTGCTATTTCATCGTGGAGAATGGAATTGTCAACTTGGAATCTGAAAAAAAAGTCATCAAATTACATAAATATATTGAATTATTCTATCTAAATTCATAATTCTGAGTGGTGGATATAGCAATATATCATGAGATTTTGTTTTAGTTACTGCAGCATATACTGTGAGCACTTATATAAACAAAGAAAACGATCATGGTGTTTTAGGGGGGTAACTGCAGTAATTATATGTTCTTCTACTTGATAAAATATAAGTCAACGAATAAGTAAATCAGTAGCATAGAATAAGTATCATTAACACAATTCGATATCAAAATATTTATTTCACCAATGCTTTACTAAAGAGGTGGGACAAATGTTCGAAAAAAATGAACACAGGAGTAACTCTATCGAAGACTTTTGTCGATCTTTGTCATAGGGGGGAAAATACTGAATTGTACTTACTGACTGATGCCCTCGAAGGCAGCCTCACGGGTGGTCTTTCCACTGTCCGTGTTGGTCCCGCGCTGTGGAAAGTTGGGAAACAAGTTAGGATGTGAAGAAATACCTAAATTAATTAAAAGTTGAAGAGTACATATACATGTATGTGTATACACACTCGAGCACACACACAAACAAACACAGAGTGTGTGTGTGTGTGGGGGGGGGGGGGGTTCGTGCGTGTATGTGTGTAATGTTTACATACATATAGCATATTGCTAGTTGTGGCAGAGTGAGAACATACTTTTTACAAATTTACAGACATTCATAAAATTAGAGGATTTAGTAATGCTACTAGTTTCATTTTTATTACTGTAGGAATATGAAGACAAATTAACACCCTTTTAATAAATTTCAGGTTGATCCATGTCATCGTTATCTGATACCAGCATGGTTGAAGACACAAAAGTCAAAGTTGGAGATCGTGTCATTCAAGATTTTAATGGGAAGGATAGATTTATTGAGTTTACTAAGATTTGATGTGAAGCTCAATTGTTATGAAGCATTTGTGTGTGTGTTTTGTGGTGTATATATATATATATATATATATATATATATATATATATATATATATATATGTATAATATATTTGCACACACACAAACATACACGTGTGTGTTTGTTTTGTGTGTGTGTGTGTGTGTGTGTGTGTGTGTGTGTGTGTGTGTGTGTGTGTGTGTGTGTGTGTGTGTGTGTGTGTGTGTGTGTGTGTGTGTGTGTGTGTGTGTGTGTGTGTGTGTGTGCGTGCGTGTGCGTGTGCGTGCGCGCATGTCTATTCATCTATCTATTTATATATTACACACGGATACATAATATACATTTATACTGCTATATTACACACAGATACATAATATATATAATGCTATCTCATTTAACTGAGGAATATTTTACTCTCTACATTATCATATACTCCAGAAGTAACTTAGAAGGCTAACGTCCTCATGTTCAGAATAACAGTTGGGCCGCGAATCAGTTCCCAGCACCACACTGTTATGATAATAAAACTGCTTGTTGTTCTCTGTGAAGGGAAATTTCTGCGCAACCACAGGCCTGCCAATCGAGGAGTATAATTCCTTCAAAACTTTTACAAGAGATATCCGTGTATAAGTTTTATGCACCCTGTGATTGCGCACTCACTCTTCGGTAAAGGCAACTGGGCTTTAAAACCTGCATCCAACACGACCTAAACAATTCTATTCGGCGGAAAGTCCCAAACCCATCGTCCCAAGATGGAAGGAGACAACCCAAGTCAGAAGCATCCCGGCGAGGGGGTCCCTGCCCCACACGGCGAGAGAGAGAGAGAGAGAGAGAGAGAGAGAGAGAGAGAGAGAGAGAGAGAGAGAGAGAGAGAGAGAGAGAAGAGAGAGAGAGAGAGAGAGAGAGAGAGAGAGAGAGGAGAGAGAGAGAGAGAGAGAGAGAGAGAGAGAGAGAGAGAGAGAGAGAGAGAGAGAGAGAGAGAGAGAGAGAGAGAGAGAGAGAGAGAGAGAGAGAGAGAGAGAGAGAGAGAGAGAGAGAGAGAGAGAGAGAGAGAGAGAGAGAGAGAGAGAGAGAGAGAGAGAGAGAGAGAGAGAGGGGGGGGAGGGAGGGAGAGGGCGCTTGGACGCTGCATCGAAAGGCACGCTGAGGACCTCGAAGTCACTGGAATCGGAATCTTCGGCAAAGACACCCCGGAAAGGCATGAGGATTCTATTTCAAGGCCCAGTGCAGGAACGTGAGCGAAGGCTGGACAACTTTATGGAGCAAATGCCAGACGAGACTCCCGCTCGACATGGGTCCTCCTCAATAAGTGCTGCGTCGAACTCAACCACTGACACACTCCAGCACCGGGAGGATGGCGTGGAAGCGGCGGCCCCGAGGCAGGTCATGAGAACAGCAGTTAACACGCGGCCAAAACATAATATGACTAACTATAATATAACTATAACTTAGTACTGAATTTCCTTTTGTTCACGACAGAAGAATACTATCGCCTAATTCCCCTTGTGAGTATATAAAACCTATACTTTCATATATACATACTCATAAAATCTACAATTTTCATATATACTTTTATATATATAAATAGATTCCCATATACTATATATCAACTCTCTCTCATAGGGTCCAACGATGTCCTGGCCCACGAGGGGAGTTCGGCCATATCAGATGTCACACGCACTTGATACTGACCTCATCCCAAGTGGAAGACCTACCCGTGTCAAAAGGTTCCGCCGGATGGACATCGCTAGGCCTATTTAGCAACTCGACACCTCCAGATATAAACGCATTATTTTGTCTATAAATTTTATATAGGGCCGGCCCATACATTGGTAAAGGCCCACTCTATAAAATCAGACCAGGTCCTTGCCTCTGTGCCATCTGCTCGAAGTGGGACTGTGTGACATGTCTTTACTCTACTGCATGTCTTTACTGCTATATATATTGTGTGATACATATATCTTGTGTGCTCTTGTATCTAATATCCTGTATGCATTTCCCTATATTCGTGATTTGTAGAATACTATTTTATTCGTGTACCGTTCGTCTGGAAATTACCCTCTACGAATGGGTTGTGCGTTTCCCTCTTAGCACACACGTCAGTCACACCCTTTACGCTAAGCCGTCTGTCATTCTATTCCCTCCACTTCTCATCCTCGTTGATCCACTTTATCTCTTCCACCTCTTCCACGTGCCCCTGGCTGATTACCCCCTAAAGCTGTTGATAGCGTTAAGCACACACACGTATCCTGCGTGTTTCCTCGAATCATTTGAACATACCATGTTAACTATTTGATTCATTTGATTGCATAGCATCTTTTATTCATATTTCAGTGGTTACTTTGCAGTTCATAAGAAGAAGCTGCCACATTTTTTCCTTATGACTTTGTTATAATATCTTACAGACCAGTAGAACGAGGACCCATTTTCTCCTCCATATAATCTACTCCATCGAATACTCCCACCACGAGCAACTGCTGCGTCGAGGTTTTATACGTTGTGGATGAAATGTGAAAGATTAATACTTCCCGTTCATTCCATCTATAAGTTATAACGAAGGAATTACTTTAGTAAAACACACACACACACACACACACACACACACACACACACACACACACACACCACACACACACACACACCACACACACACACACATAAATCAATAATGTTATGACCTCTACCTCGGGACCCTATTACTACAGGCGGCACCTTTCCAAGTAAGGTCAAGTCGCGCCGCACACCCCTCGCCCCCCTCGCGGCGACGAGCAGAGGCACCAACGCCACCTGCTTGCTCCGCTCGCCGGGATCGAAACCGCGACGAAAGAATCGACTAGAAACCCCGTTTGGCAGATGTCGACGACGACGCCGGGGGGAGGGAGTCGCATCGAGGAGAGGGTTCTCGAAATCACGCGGACAGGAAGGACCTGGCGATGGTAAAACAAGTGACAAGGGAAACGAAACGAAGTTTCCATCGGTTTATAGAGACTAACGTTGTCTATAAACAGTGTTTGTTTACGGTGTCTTTCACTAACTAATGTGCATTTTTCTGATGTATTATTATTGTGTTTGCGTATGGGGCGATTCTACCGTATAGTTTGTGTTACAGTATGGAAGTCCCTCTCCTCCGCTCATAATTCTCTCTCTCTCTCTCTGTCTGTCTCTCTCTCTCTCTCTCTCTCTCTCTCTCTCTCTGACATACGTACAAACATATGTAAACTATGTGCGTGTACACGCGCGCACGCGCTTCTGCCAGACTGACAGCTAAAGAGTCACTATCAGATGACACGGAGAACGCCACGTGACTGCACACCACGTGACAGCTCCTTGGTATGGCTCGTTATGTAAAGAAGCGAACAAAAGGCGAACGCAAGTTTACAGAAGGTTTCACACTGCCTTACTGGAGGCTCACATGCCGGGGACGAAAGCGCCAACAAAGAAAACCCTTACTCGACACTCACGGCTCGCCATTTCTTTGTTATCATTAGGGGAGTAAGGAACGAAGGAAGGAAGGGTGGAGGTAGCTCAGAAAGAGAGAGAGGGGAGAAGAGAGAGAGAGAGAGAGAGAGAGAGAGAGAGAGAGAGAGAGAGAGAGAAGAGAGAGAGAGAGAGAGAGAGAGAGAGAGAGAGAGAGAGAGAGAGAGAGAGAGAGAGAGAGAAAGAGAGAAAGAGAGAGGGAGGGAGGAGGGGGGGGGAGAGGGGGGAGAGAGGGAGGGAGGGAGAGAGAGGGAGGGAGGGAGGGAGGGAGGGAGGGGAGGGAGGAGAGAGAGAGAGAGAGAAGAGAGAGAGAGAGAGGAGAGAGAGAGAGAGAGAGAGAGAGAGAGAGAGAGAAGAGAGAGAGAGAGAGAGGGAGAACAGAGAGAGAGAGAGAGAGAGGAGGGGGGGAGAGAGAGAGGGAGAGGGAGAGGGGAAGAGAGAGGGAGAGAGAGAGGGAGAGAGGAGAGAGAGAGAGAGAGAGGAGAGAGAGAGAGAGAGAGAGAGAGAGAGAGAGAGAGAGAGAGAGAGAGAGAGAGAGAGAAGAGAGAGAGAGAGAGAGAGAGAGAGAGAGAGAGAGAGAGAGAGAGAGAGAGAGAGAGAGAGAGAGAGAGAGAGAGAGAGAGAGAGAGAAGAGAGAGAGAGAGAGAGAGAGAGAGAGAGAGAGAGAGAGAGAGAGAGAGAGAGAGAGAGGAGAGAGAGAGAGAGAGAGAGAGAGAGAGAGAGAGAGAGGGTGGGGGAGAGAGAGAGAGAGGGTGGGGGGAGAGAGAGAGAGGACAGAGAGAGAGAGGGAGGGAGAGAGAGAGAGAAGAGAGAGAGAGAGAGAGAGAGAGAGAGAGAGAGAGAGAGAGAGAGAGAGAGAGAGAGAGAGAGAGAGAGAGAGAGAGAGAGAGAGAGAGAGGAGAGAGAGGGAGAGAGAGGAGAGGGTGGGAGAGACGAGGGAGAGAGAGACAGAGAGAGAGGGAAGAGGGAGAGGGGAGGGAGACGAGAGAGGAGAGGGAGAGGAGAAGAGAGAGAGAGAGAGAGAGAGAGAGAGAGAGAGAGAGAGAGAGAGAGAGAGAGAGAGAGAGAGAGA